TACAGGGTGGTAAATAATATTATTCCAGGGGGGTAACAGTATGATCTCGAATCGGAGATATCATGAATTTTATACCAAATGAAAGCCCGTGAAAAATGGGGTTTAGTGATAGTAAATAGTAAGACTTTGAAGAACTTTCGTGTACCAAATTTTTAAAAACAACGAAATTTTCTTTCAAAAACACGTTAAAAATCATTTTTCATACATTTTGAGACATTGAAAACGAACATTTTTTTATGAAAACGAAAGAGAAATGATAACGATGATGATATATGACTATGACTCACACAATAAGATGGTTCTTTGGCGTTCTGTTCTTCTCTCCACGTGATACTAGTTATTTGAAAAATGTTTTCGTTCTCGGACTGTCTGAAAGTTATAGTCGAGTGAAATCTCAGTGTTTTTTCGTTTGTTATTTCAAATGGCTGGCGCTTATGATACCGAACAACAAAGAATGATTGATAGAATTAAATGCATTACTTTCCGAGAAGCTCGTGATGCTGGTGCAACATTTATAAATAGACAATGGATTGCCGACAAAATTCACCGTACGACTCGATTTGTTACAGAATGGTGGGAAAAATCGTGTGACCAATGTTTTGCTGATTATTCGAATGCTGGTCCTAAACTCAAGTTATCGAGAGCTGCTCAGGACATTATTCGTGAAGCAAGTGGTCACCAACGGAAAAGCGGTTCTGTCGTGGCGAAAGAGATTGCAAAGAAACAAAAAGAATATGTTACTCGACAAACAGTTAATAACTACCGTCGTAGGGAAGGATTAAAGCCTTTTCATGTTATTTCAAGACCGTTAAAATCTGAAACTCATATATCAGATCGATTATGGCTCTGTGATTGGTTGAAAGATTGGACTGAAGAAGATTTTCTTCATCTGGCACCATCAGATGAATTTTATGTTTGGACAGTTCGCAAACCAAATTATCAAAATGATAGGATTTGGGCAAAAAAGTGTTGAAGATATTGAAGACGATGAAAGGTATCGCGAAATGGTTAAAAACCAAGCGTGTATCGGTATTTTTATCATTTTCACCGCGAAAAAAATGCTTTGGGTGATTAAAGACAAAGGTGAATCTTGGACCGGTCAATATTTTCGTGACATTATTTTAATGCAACACGTATTTCCATTCCTCACCGACGAGGAAAACGTAATTGATCTGGATAATGTGATATTTGTTCACGATAAAGCACCGTGTATGCGAGCAAACATGACTCAACATCTGATTAGAGATAACAAAATCGAGTTTTGGGGCAATGATATTTGGCCTGGTAATTCGCCCGATCTCAATGTGGCGGAACATATTGGATCAATAATGAAAGATGAAGTTGAACAAAAAATGTTATCGGAAACTGGACATAATCGATATAGTGAAGACACACTTAAAAAGCACATTGCGGATGTTTTGACGGACATGGAAGAAAATACCGAATTGTTTGAAGCTCTTTTATGTTCGTATCCATCTCGACTTCGTGCAGTAAAGAGTGCTAATGGTCGTCATACTGATTATTGATTGTACTCAATAAATAATAAGAAAATAAACAGTTGTACAACATATAGTTTAGCCCCGAACTTTTTCGATGAACTGATTTTATAATATTTTATGTCGATAAAAAATCGTAACGTTTGATAAATTAATACAAGAAAGTTCTTCAAAGTCTTACTATTTACTATCACTAAACCCCATTTTTCACGAGCTTTCATTTGGTATAAAATTCATGATATCTCCGATTCGAGATCATAGTGTTACCCCCCTGGAATAATATTATTTACCACCCTGTACTTACTTGTCGAAAAAAATGAATCTTTAAATATTTATGTTATAAACTATCCACGGTAGTCATTTCATCATTTTACATGACTCATATAACCCATTTTACAAAGTAGGAAGAGAAAGTTTCTGCTTTGTCTTCTAAGTCAGAAAACAGAACTGAAACAGTTTACTGTTAGCTACAAAATCTTTACAAATCTTTAGAAACTTGGGTGTGGATGTTGTTGTGGATATCTCTTTTGTTTATAATGACAGGCAAATCCATACTCACACCCACACCCACACCCTTCACCAGTGATTCGACTCAACGAAAACATTATGCTGCACTTGTGTTCTCTTTCACTCTAGAGTTATTGCACAACTTCTAGCGACTTTCACCAAAAGTAGGAATCAAATAAGCTGTGTGGATATGGATATGAATTTTCTCTTTATCTATACCTGCACTCAAACCCCAAAGAAATAAACTTTTTCTCGTTTTAGATCGAAATTATGGTCATGGCAGTTTGTCTCATTCGGTTTCGTCTTCCAGATGCCAGGCATCAGATCCATTATATGTTTTTATGTAGAACACGTTTATTTGTGAAGTTAAAAACCGATACACTTTAATAGAAATACCAGATATTACATCAAATATTAAGCAAAAAATGGAATATATCAAAATGTAGCACAATACATTTGGAAAATATATAGGTTAGGATATCAAAGCAAGAAAAACCTGTATAAGAAGACCCCAACAGAAAATAATAGAGAAAATACTTGATAAAAAGAAAGAGAACAAACATATATGAATAATACCTTTAGCATGATTTCTATTTGATAGCAGTGGACATTATCAATATAGATGATTATATTTTTTGCAAACATTATATTCTCTGTGATGACATTGAACTCAATGTGTGATTGACTATAATCATTTTATTGTAATAGAATTATATCAAATCTGTGCAATCGATTGGGATGCATTTCAGGATGTAAGTTCCTTTACTGAAATGTCATGGAATAAGATGATCACGCTAGTTCTTGACGCCCAGAATTTCAGATGGATTAGCTTGATACTGGTTTTATGAAAAATTTGATTTTGATAGTATCAAGATTTACTAATTTTCGTAAGTTATCGCATATCCGCTTGATTTCAATTATTTTACTTTCATGAGGAAATCCACTATAGTCATGATAGAACGAATCAAAGCTTGCTTTCTTATCAAAAAATTTCAAAGTGTTGATAGGTTTCGTTACACATACTCGATCTGGAAAAATTTTGGTGTTGTATCGAAGATAAAGTTTAGTCTTTGACTATTAATCACAACGTAGGGACACATTTTCATCTTGAAAATGTTCTGCAAATGTTCACAATCAAGATATTCTGATCAAGGTATTACTGATTATTTTGGATATTAATTTCGGTTAATTTTGAGTGTACCGTCAGACAAAATGGTTATCAGATCAGTTTACGTCATCAATGTTATAGTGAGGCAAGACGTATACGATGCTAACAAGACCAATTAAAATGCTTCAGTTCGATCTTCTTTTGCTCATATTTTTTTTTGTCTTATTAGTACCAAATTAACTAGACAGCAGTATGGGAGAGAGACTAGCCGTCATTTGCTAAAAACCATCCACAAGATCAAAAGTGTGGATACTACAGAAAAGAGAAGGAACACTCAATTTCAACATATTAATATATAATATAAATATGTTGGCACAATATACAGAAAATTATTATAGAATAGAAAACAGTACAATAATGAAAGATGAATAATAAAACATAACAGACAACTTGTTGTACAAAAAAACGCAATACATAAGTGAAAGTTATTGAGATAGCTCAATCAATAGGCGTTTTTAAACAGAGAATAGATATTAGTAAAATTTTTTAGTTTTAAACTTACATTTCTTTATTAGTTTGATGAAACTTTGTACACACAAAAATATGAATGTTTTTGCAGTAAATTATGACAAACAAAACTTTTTAGAAATGATATAATAATTACTTAGAAGTGTAATAAAATGTTTTTATGTAAAGTCTTCATCAATTATTTTGATTGTAACAGAATACATAAAAATCTATAGGCAAAGTTGGAATTATACGAAGGTGCTGAGTCTGACCGGAAGCCCCAATTCTTTTTCTATCGTCTTGCTTCCATAATATGATTTTTTTTTACCATTTATAGTGTTCACCTAATTCTAATGAACAGGCAAGTCTAAGGAGTCTCTATCTTATGTAAAATGAAAAAAATCAAAGTCTTGAAAAAATATTTTTCTACTTACAAACAGATTTTTTTGAAGATTTTGATTTCACATGAGATAGCGTTCATTAGCATTATGCAAACACTGTAAGTGGTAAAAAAAAACATTTTTTTCTGATATATTATGGAAGCGAGGTGATAGAAAAAGAACTGGAGCTTTCAGTCAAACTAAGCACCCCCAGTCTTTGATGATTGAGGATGTATAGACTTTTCTGGCTAGTATTTCCGAGATCATGTCATCATTCAAAAGAGAAATCCAAAAATTATATGTCCAGATATACTCTACAAACTAAAAAAAAGTCTAAAATATCTATTTCCTCCGTGGTAGCGGTAGTATTGAAAGTTATATGGTTTTGAATCATAGGACCAGTACTAACTAACTACTGAAATATGCAAAAAGAAAAATTTTTCTAACAATTTCATTTTTTGAAAATGTTTTTCTTTAAAACAACATGTTACAAATGCAAACTATTCGTATAAATAATAAATTAACATAGAAGAATTGTTCAAATAAATCTTTTCTTGAGCAGAATATGTTTTTTTTCACTTCATGATATTTCTATAATCAAAAGTCCTTCTATCAAATTTTATTAATGAAATGGAATGTATTAGAACATATATATCTTCATTTTTGTTCTTTGTTCTTTATTGTTATTATACAATATGAGAATGAATCGGAAGAAAATAACAAGAGAAAAGTCACTCCTGCAAGTTATTACTGTTGTACTGATCTACTGTCAAATTGTATAAAAACAGGAAGGTGAATGTGTATATATTCTAGTACATTTCATTCGATCAACAAAATTTGAAGAAGGCAACACATTGATTGCTGAAAATACATAAGGAGAATGGGAATATGCTACTAATAATGAGATTTATTTAAACAATAGTGAGAGCATTGTATAGATGGAAAAGATTTTGATACTGTTCACATATAAATTTTAACCAAAACTTAAAGGTGATTAATTTGAAATGCCTATTAAAGATTTTCTGCAAGTAATTTTACTGTTTTGTCATTATTTAAACTATCAAGAAGGGTCTTAGCAATTTTTCTTGAGCTACAATGATAAACAGCATCAGAATCTTTTAGTGGTCTTGTCACTAAAACATGTGCGACAGTTGTAGATTCATTACCCCTACGTTGATGTTTATATCTCTGTCCATCTATTTGCACTTGAAAATTAATATAGTCACTATTTCCAGTAAAATTCTGATCATCTAAGCGTACATTATTTGTTTGCTTTATTGTACCCGCCTTAAATGGCTGAGACATAATTACCACTAGTTTATCATTTTCATTCCTTAATTTTTTCATAGCTTCAGGCATTAATTTATATTTTATTTCTTTTTCTAGAACCATCCTGCATTACAGTGATAGGATTGAAGATGTAAAGATTTTTCTTTGGTGTACCATCTATCATCTGATTACATCTATTCAAATCAATCTCCCATCTACGTCTCTAACATATTTTTCTGAACGTTTAGCAGTCTAACGGCGTAGTGATACTCGTTCTTGTCCTATAATATTTTCATTTACTTTTCTACCTAATGATTCATGATAAGCTATTAGCAAACAATCTTTCCGTCCACTGATCTGTATATATGTTTCTGTTCCTCTACCAGTAAAATAATGTTCAATATCTCCATTTTCATCTGCTTCATAATATATTTTAGCAGATTGTTTAAGAAGAGCAAGTATTTTTCTTACTCCTGAAGGATTTATTATTTCTTTTTCCATTAAATTGTGAATCAACCATTGTCTTTATTCCTTGTACAATGGTTTTTTCAATCTGTTTTAATGTTCCATTAATAGGTTGTCTTACTACTGTGTCTAATTCTTTTGTTAATTTAGTTGATATATATATTCTCTAATGATTCTATTCAATTGTTCTGCTGTTGTTTCGACAAGGTTCTTGTTAATGTTTTTTCTATAAATATTCTGATTTTCTTTGGTAGTACCTTCAATAATATCTTTTAAAGTATTGAAGACATGTTCGAACTGTAAGACAGATTGAACTACAGTCCACAACTTATTAATGATATCTATTGCTTTAAGAGTAGTAGCAGCTATTTTAACGTATTTTGAATTTGATTTCTTTAGACCATCAGCAAATAGATGATAACTATTTCTTAAAGAAGATACAACTCGTGTTCAAATATTATCAAATTGTTGAGGTAATAAAATATCTTTTCCTAATGTTTTTTCTAATATGTTTTTTCAATTCTTCAAAAGATTTTTCGAACTCTTCTTCATTTTTACTTTGAAGATAAAGAGTTTCTACTTTATTATTTAATAAACCGATTATTTCTTTTAATAAATTTTCTTGTATTTTACTAACAGTCTTTTGTATAAACATTTTCTTGAATCTGTTCCATAATTTTATCCGTCAAAAACTTTCCAATTCCAACAGTCAACATAGAGAGACCGAAGCTAATTGCTTTTTGTATTGCCCATTCTTTCCAACTAAAAATACCTGATATTAAAGCATTGCCTATCTGAGTCAAACCAAAGGCTACTAAAACAGCTTCGGCAATGACTTGAACAAGTCCTATCATTGCAACGGCAAAAGCATTCCAATCCCACCAAGATTTATCTTCTTCAATAATCAAAAATTTATTAAGATTAAAACCTTCAAAAAATCTTAATTCACTTGGAACATTTTCTTGATCTTGAAGATCTATAAAATCTTTTAAATTAGCTTTTAAACCTGTTTTAAATGAACGAATATCTCCTTGTAAAGACAAAATTTTCGACAAAATTAAGTCTTTATCATTTTCAAATTGAGTATTTTTTAAAATTTTATTTCAAATTCTTTCAATATTTCTTTTAATATCTCCATATTTATATTTAGCAAGTCCACCAGACTTTAAAATATTTTTTTCTTTTTGATAAATTCGAATATTATTTCCTTCTTCTTCTTTAGTAGTAAATGATAAATCTGTGTTGATAAAAATATTGATTTTGTTGACTAATATTATCTTTTAATTCTATTAAATATGTTTTATGATCTTTTGTTTCATGACCATTACCATTAAATTTAATTTTCGTATATTTTTCTTTCTATTGATTATTCACATAGAGAAATATTAACTTGTTGTGGATCTATTTTATCTTCTAAATCTTTCCAAACATTTTCATATATCCGTGGTAATTCTTTTTCTATTCTATTTATATTTAAAATTTGCCATAATTCTTCACTATCACAAACAATATCTTCGAAATCTTTTTTGTTCAAAGTAAGATTTACTATTTAATAAAATAATTAATGGATCGGCAATCGAAGGATCAAGATCATTTCGAATTATCTTTTCTATTTTATCTCGTTCTTGTGAATTATTTCGAAATATTTTTCTTATTGTATCTCCTTGAAGAATTTCAAATTGAACTAAAAGTGAATATAATTCTTTTCCTTTATCTTGATCTTCACGAGTTAAATTTTGTTCATCTTTTGGACGTAAAATAAAATAAAATGGTTCTACTGTATCTCCAACAGTTTCTAATTTTCCTGTTATTTGATCTTGATAAAAATTTTCTTTTGAAGAAACTTTTTTGAAGGGTGTGGGTGTGTGAATGTGGGTAGGGGTCTTCTCTTTATCTACACCCACACCCAAATTTGAACTTAGCTCTACACTATTAGAGAACCTAAAGAGAAGTCTCTGATCAAAATGCACTTTTTCCTGGAAACGAACTTTCTTCAAAATAAAAGGCAAAGCAACCAGACTATTTAATTTAAATTGATTACAATAGCTGATTTTCCACATTAATCGTTTAAATAAGAAAACAATTATTAATGTCTTCATTCAATTTACTAATTTAATCAAATAAATAACAGACACAACAGATATACAAAGAGGTTAATACAAAAAAAATTATATTGGATTTCTTCATATGAAAATACTGGCAAAGAGTTCGTCTGTCTTGATATAAAAATTCAAAGATTATTTTCCTCTTATGCAACCATGATCATATGATGCCTGCTCTGTTGTACCTAATCATACTAATTGAATCTTGCGATCAGCAGTTCATATGAGTAAGATTTCTGGACTAATGACTATTTGAATTGAACTGAGGTCATTTGAAAAAAGAAACATAAATTAAATTTGAATAAATATTAGAACATAAAGAAAATTGTTTATGAATCTTATCAAAAGGCTCATTGTTTAATACGTTACAATCGGGAGAAGTTACTTGATATTTTAAACAAAAAACTTTACACAAATATTCTTTAAGCATCAACATCAATCTGAATTCTATCATATATATCGAATATAAATATGTCAATAAGTCTTTTATTATAAGCCTTTTTATTGATAGAAACTTCTCATAAAAGTGACGAGGAGGATATTATTTCATAGAGGGACATTTGTAATTTTCTTTAAATATCATTTTGATCAAATTTTTCTTCTACTTTTCAAAGATTCACTTATACTTCTTAACATATGGTTCGTACGAAAATTCTTTTTCAGGCATAGAACGTTAACACATCTTTATCAAAATTTTTTCATTGAAAGTCTAATGAGAAAAGAAATATATGGTTGATTAATTAATTGATTTATTATTATTGAGATTTCTTTTACAAAATCAAATATTTTCTCTATACATAATTTGATTTCTAAAAAAAGCAGAGACACTTTTCAGTCAACGAAATTAACATACTTCGAGTATAACAAAATTTTTTCTTATTATTGTCAACAGATAACAAACTAATTGATATTATAAGATTTAAATAAATAAATATAAAGCATAAACAAAAGATATCTCATGTTCAAATCAATTTTATTAACTAATAATCTTAGTAATTTCCTTTTATACATTATTTTATTATTTCTTTAGTTCAATTATGCATTGTAACAAGCTCTCTTCAAATGAAATGTCTTGCTTGTACATTTTCTCACGTATTATTTACTCACGTTTGTTCACTTTTTTTTGGAAAGAAAAACAAAATAAATATCGCAATAAAACTGTCCCTTTTACAAACACTCGATAACTACATCAGTTCATTGCATAACGAAATCGACAAAAAAATACCAATTGAACAATGTCTATATTGATGGGAGAATTGAATAGTTTTTTATGACTATATTAAGTAATGAAGACCCTTCAATTTATTCTTTGTCATATCAATTACGGAAATTAAGACAAATCTAATAAAAAATATTCTAGTCTAGCTATGTATATACCTATTTAATTAATACTTTTTCTAATTGTCTTTATAAAATTATGGAAAACGGATATATGTATGTCCGAATATGCCTGTATTATTTTCAAAAACATCAAAACTTAACAAGAAAAATACACAAATAAGTTGTTGAGTATGTTTTCTTTTTTATGAAACTTCATAACATCCCCATCCAATCGAAACAAAGAATATACCGATAATAATTTGACGAAAGATTTGAATAAACTAAATACTATGAAAACAAAAGAAAGTTCTTTTATCTGTTGAACAATTTCTGTAAGAGAGAAAAAAAATCATATGAAATGCACGAATACACCTACAATGGTCTATTACTATCATGAAATCATCAGATTGACAAGTTTATTTTTTACTCAGATTTGTTTTTATCGTCTATGAAGTTGCAATCTATAAAAACACAGAATATACTTCATTTAATTCTAAGCATATGATATAATTTCATAGACAGCGATTTTTTTCAGTAACTAGAAACAATTATCTATTTCATTGATCAATACTCATGAATATTTAAACAAACTGAATAGATTTGATCAATAAAAGCATTTAGTTTTTGGAATTTTCAACGAATAAAACAATTCTGTTTTTTCTTATATTTCTCAATTTTCATGATTCAATTGATATGATCAAATAACCAATTTCACTTGCACCTTGTGACAAGCGATACATTGTTCAGGTGGCAAGAAAAAATTGTCACAAAATGAAGTAAGACCACGACATTCCTCTTGTCTTTACGCATTACATTAGATTACGTTCAAAAGAAAGTGAAATGTGTAAAAATGATAGTGCTTATAAAATCTAAACTCAATTCATTCTTTCTACTAACATTTTATCGTATGTAGTTTAGTATAAAAAACTATTGCCAAAGGCTAGAAATAGTATCGTTTTTGAGTCACTGTTTTCTATTGGTAATCTGTAAAATGAATAATTTTTTTTCTATAGATATATCTGGAAAACAAAAAAAAACCGATAATATATACTGTATAATCAGCTGTATATTGTGAGAGGAATTCATGACTTCTGGTGCATGTGCCTCAACATTCGTTTTTTTTATATATCCACAATCACGAAATGATTAAATCTAATATTGAAAATAATTTTGAAATTTTTATATTCATCACTATTTCTCTGAATTTGTGAATGCAATTGAATACATATATAAAAATCAATAATACAGGTCATTGATAGTTTTTGGTGATATTTACAGAACGTGCTTATCGAAAAGATTTATTTTATACAGTTATCCTTCATAATAAGTGAATGATAGTTACTCCTTTATTACATTTATTGTCTACTCATAATTGATACATATGACCAAGAAAACTTAATTTTATCTTATGGCAGATTTTGATGATTATACCCATGTCAATATCTCAACTATTCTTAAAATGAAGATCACATTTTCTATAAAGTTAATATGTTCAATGAATCAGGCTTTGTAATCAAACGAGAAGTCTTCATTAAAATCAACTCGAGTTGATGAATTAACTTGTCTTAGGTCCTTATATAAAGATGAACCATTACAGTACACTAGAAGTTTGGTTATGTACGTGAAACTAAGAAATGTTTAAATATTTTATAAAACAGAAAAGAAAGGCAATAACTGATAATTACTTTCTATAGGTATCATCTAATAAATCATAAAATTTTCTGATTACTTTTTCTCTTTCTTTTGAAATTTAAAAAGAAAAACAAGATTAAGTTACTCATACAATTTTACGTTTCCTTTTATCTATCAAAAGAAAGTATGTAAGGCAGAGTGGAAAAAAACTACTAATTCTAAAAATTCATTTTTGAGACAAGAACATATTATATTACGAAATCATTATATTTTGGATTTATCGATAAATAAATACTTATTCGACTGCCCGCATTTATAGAGAAACGTCAATTTCTTTTTGTTTTTCGTTTTGCTAGGATTTCATCAATCAATCAGTTTCATTTTGTAGAAGATATTTTGAAAAATAAAATGCTATAACATGAGAAGATAGAAAAATAAATTAAAACAACAACTATCATGGAAATGAGAAAAAAGGTCCTTTTTGAAGAAAAAATAAGAAAAAAACATCTCTTTAAAATTTCTTTCGTTTGTCATCGATATTTCAAGGATATTTTATATTTTTGAGATTTCGAAAAGTTTTATGAGCAAAGACAAAAATAAAAATTTATCTTTCTCCTAAAAATGAAGCATTCATTCATAATAGGGAAATGAGTTAGGAAAATCATTTCTTTTTGTAAAAACAAAAAAGACACCAGAGTGTGAATGACTATTGTATTGTATGTTATCATCATTCGAGTATACCAATTATGATGATTTTAATAAAAGAAAAAGAAAACAATATGCAGAGAACTTTGAACAATTTTCATTTAAACTTGAAAATAAAATAGAACCATCTCTTATAGAGATCGACAAATCTCATGATATTTCTATTAATATTATTTTAGACGATAATGCAATTATGTAATAACAAAGAAAAAAAACTGAAAATAATTAGCACTAGTTTCTTCTGACATATAAAATTTATCGGTAATACTTTTCATTTTAAATAACTATTCATAAAATAATTCTACATGAATTTAATAAACCAAGATTTCCATATGTCAAATATTCATGATCTCGAATGATGGTATAGTTAGACGTAACAAAGTCAGAAAAACAAAAGAAATATCGCCGTGAAAAATGGTCTGAAGAATATGCTTTATTGTAAATTAAAAAAATCTATAGCATTCTTAATACCATCATAATAAAGATATTGTCAGTATAATGTTGAATTGAAATTGTTTTGACTTGTTTCAGAATATTCATTTTCTATGAGAAATATACTATAAGTACATCATAAACAAAATAATCTACTCGTATATTGTAATGTTCAATTATTATAAAACTATATTTACATCAAACCAATCGATTCAACTCATTTTGTGTAAAAAAAAAGTACATGTTGATCGTAAGTGTTTGGACATCGAGAAATGTGTTCCACATAAGATCAAGTATCCTTTTCTATGGAGAAGATGTAAGAAATACGTATAACATAATGAATATATGAGTCAGAATTATTATATCTTTCATTGAGATAGTCAAAGCCAAATTCATAAAAAAAATGTATGTACCGTTAATCTACGTACGAATGAAAGAGAGACATATACTATAGTACTACATAAATTAATGATTATACGATTAGTATTTTTAATCTCATCCACACAATAGAATTTTCTATTTTCAGAGAATTGATAGATGGTTTCAAATTCTTTTTTTTATCAAGAGAGAGTAGTTTATTTTTCATCGAGTTATTTTTGTTTCGTGAGACTTTTCATAAAAATGCAATATTCATCCAAAGATAGGAAGGATGACTCGAAAAAAAACATGTTCTTTTTTGTTTATGTTTCATAATTTCGATTGATAATCGGCCAAATTAGTTCATGTTTGCCTCGTTTCACACGAGAAAATAGAGCAAAATGAGACGAATATTTTCTTGTCTGAGGAACAATAGTTGAAAACCTACTTGAGAAATACTAGAGGTTTTCAAAGTTCTCTCCAGTTGGAATGATTCGAATCGCCCTAACTGGTGTAATTCAGATTACTATCTCAAGGCTCTCACCATTTTTATAAAAACTCTAGAGATAAATTTTGTTCGATGTAAGATAGTTGAACAATGATTGAGATAAATCAATTTTTTTGAATAGTGATCTGCATGATACCAAATGGTTACATTCACTATTATAAAATCATCTCGTGTTATTGTTAATTTTATTTTCATTGTTACTTTTTTTTAAATGCGAAATGACAATCTCATAATGAAGATTTCTTATAACAAAACAAAAAAATAGCTATCGCTGCTCGGCTTTTTCAGCGAAGATCTAAGTGTAGTATCTGTTCTTGTCGATTTGAAAGCGAGCGCTGGTTTCCTTATGTTTAGGTTCTTTCAAGCGGATTTTTGAATATCGACTGAGACCATCCTAGTTCATTCAGAGTTATGCCATGAATCGTCTCAAAATTACAGTGTCATCTGGTTTGCTTGCTTTGAGTATGATGGAATGATTTTCGTTATCTGATAGAACTGTTCAACACATTACCCTTCGCTAAAAATTGGCAGCATGGAACTGTAGAATTAATATCAAGTTACTTTGTAAACGAGAACGACTAGCTAATATTTTATACTCACATTGAGCAGCAATAAATACTTCTATTATTCGTTGTTTGTAGACCAAGAAATTAATTTGATTAATATGAATCATGAGCGAGGT